ACACATCTGTTTCATATTTGGATATTTTACTTGAAAAAGACGTTAATGGTAATCTAACAACCAAGCTTTATGATAAACGTGATGACTTTAACTTTTCAATCGGCAACTTCCCTTACTTATGCAGCAATTCATCACCTGCATACGGGGTATATATCTCTTAGTTGATTCGATACGCAAGAGCATGCTCTACGTATATACAATTTCTAAAACGAGGTAAATTATTGACGAATAAGTTGATGAAACAAGAATATCAACCGTCTCGTTTAAAGTCATCATTTCGTAAGTTCTATGGTCGATACAATGACCTTGTCGTCAGCAAATACAATTTATCATTGGGTCAAATGCTGACTGACGTTTTTCATACTAATTGTTAGGCCATTATTTACACACTGAATTGTCGACGGATTTTTCCGTTATTCCCCGATCATGACAAGGAGCACACGGCGGGTGTGACCGGTCGGCAGGGGATGCTCACTCCTCCATGGCACCTGATCCCACCTCTGATGTTTGGAGGTCCGTGTTTGCTCTGCTCCTATTTTGTATTGTATAATGGACTTTTGAGCTTGAATACTGTTCGTTATCTCCATATATTTCATTTAATAAGCTATATATATAGTCGTAGACAATATGACGATTTATAGGATAGCCGATATGGTCTGTCGGTGCACGAACAAAATCCGGAATAAATTAGGTATGTGACTTTTTCAATTGCATTTGTTTCTAATATGTAGAACATAAATTCAAAATCATATCAGGTAAACCAGAAAAAAATGTTAATAACTTGTCACATTTTTACACAAATGGCTTCAGAGACAGATGATTGATGTTGTAATGTTCATTGTTTTGTTGGAATTGAGCTTGCTGCAAATGACGTCGTCAAACGTGTTCGCGGCGCACGGGAATAAATTAAATTTGTTCTGAATGTTGGTTTTCCTCTTCAGAGACGGGAAACGATATAGAAGCGACATTTCACACTAGAATGTTAGTAGAGAGGCTGTTTATAAAATGGTATAAGAGATTCAAAAACAGTTATCCCCTCCACACCGAATATAACTAGGCTTATAAGGAGTACAGTTCTGTTTGTTAGATTCAGACGGTGAGAAAAGTTATTGGTCACGATCGACATCAAACTTTGTGTATTCTCTGCTTCTTACAATGTAAGACCACCTTTCGAGGACTGAAATTTGAATGACAAAAACTATGAACAGTGGTGAATGTTAATCATCCCTCGGTCAAGAGTGGTTTGCCAGTTTAAACACAAAAATGAAATGCTCAAGAGAGGCATGTTAAGCACATGGGCAGTACAAAATACTTAAACAAAATGATCATGACGTTTTAAGAGATGTAAATTACGCTTACTTTCGTGCGTCGACGTACACTTATATGCTTTCTTTTTTTGCAATATTTTCATATTAAATGTGTTCTTATCATGAAACTTGAAATTTGTTATCATTAAATGTTGCTTTTTACTATGACTAGAAAAGAACTTTAATTTAGCAAACAGAAATTAAATTGTTTATCCTGTATTCTAAGTCTCTAATAAAACTTGCTTCCATATTAATTATGCGTTTCTTTTTAAACAGTCCTAATTTTGTAATTTTCAATAAATGTAATCGCTATTAAAGTGGATTGATTGATTGATTGATTGTATGTTGTTTTACGTCCCATTCGAGAATTTTTCAGTCATATAGAGAAGGGCTCCAAAATTTGACCTTTACTCGGCACTCAGGACCATTGAGCAGTGAGGGATCTTTATCGTGCCAACGCCTGCCGTGACACGAGGCCTCAGTTTTTAAGGGCTCATCCGAAGGACCCGCAACTTTCACTTCAAAGTGCCGAGCGCATGGCGAAGGAACAGTTGCTACCCATTTTTTTTATCGACTTAGGTCAGTCGCGGCCGAGATTCGAACTCAAGACCTCCCGATCACGGAGCGAGCGCTCTACCGACTGAGCTACCGTGAACGGTTTATTTAAGTGGGAAAATTAGTGATTCATTTACTAGGTACTGTTAATGAATGAAATATATGGAGGTAAAGAACAGTATTCAAGCTCAAAAGTCCATTATACAATACAAAATAGGAGCAGAGCAAACACGGACCTCCAAACATCAGAGGTGGGATCAGGTGCCATGGAGGAGTGAGCATCCCCTGCCGACCGGTCACACCAGCCGTGTGCTCCTTGTCATGATCGGGAAATAACGGAAAAAATCCGTCGACAATTCAGTGTGTAAATAATGGCCTAACAATTAGTATGAAAAACGTCAGTCAGCATTTGACTCAATGATAAATTGTATTTGCTGACGACAAGGTCATTGTATCGACCATAGAACTTACGAAATGATGACTTTAAACGAGACAGCTGATATTCTTGTTTCATCAACTTGTTTGTCAATAATTTACCTCGTTTAAGAAATTGTTCATACGTAGAGCATGCTCTTGCGTATCGAATCAACTAAGAGATATATACCCCGTATGCAGGTGATGAAGGTATATTGCTGCATAAGTAAGGGAAGTTGACGATTGAAAAGTTAAAGTCATCACGTTCATCATAAAGCTTGGTTGTAAGACTACCATTAATATGGGTGTTTTAGTGAATTCACCAGTATCTTAAATAGATTGAATATACAGGAACTCGAAATCAAATAGAAGAAATTGATACACATGTACCTATATAACATTTTTCCTCCGGGGTAAATTGTTTTTACATGTAAAAGAGATATATATTACTGTTAATCATAATTGATTGCATGAAATATGGAGATAGGCCTTTAAAACAATACAAATCGGGAGCAGAGCAAACACGGACCTCTAAAAACATTAGTGGTGAGATCAGGTGCCATGGAGGAGTGAACATCCCCTGCCGACCGGTCACCCGCCTTGTGCTCCTTGACATGATCGGGAAATAACGGAAGAATTCGTCGACAATTCAGTGTGTAAATAATGGCCTCACAATTAGTACGAAAAAAGTCAGTCAGCATTTGACTTAATAATAGATTGTATTTGCTGACAAGGTCATTAAATTAACCATAGAACTTGTAAGATGATGACTTTAAACGAGACTGTTGATATTCTTGTTTCATCAACTATATGACACTGATACAAACAAGAAGGTAGGTAAACTTTAATGTTTAAATTCTTTTAAATTAAATGAATATAAATTTAATATTCACATCCATTTAAAAAGTTTTAAGATTTATCCCTTCAGTGTAATAGTTATTGGAAAAGTAATTTAATCTCGATTTACCTGTTTCATCGAGTGGCGTACCTTCCTCTGTTTTTTTATTGTTATCTGTAAAACGAATCAAAATATAAAGTGTAATATTTTTTTTTGAATTTGGTTGATATTTGATGACTTGTTAATGTTGTTTAGGATATTTGTTCCCTTGTCATTTTGCTAAATCTTTCATAAAACGTTGTAACATACCTCTCGTAATCTTCAGTTAACATAATTTTAAAGGTGGTAGAAAACATAAAATGTTTTAATTTCATGTTTAAATTCATTTTCATTGCAGGAATTTGTCTGAAGATCACAATATGGCAGGCAATAACTCATTTATTTCCACAAATTTTGAAACAATTTTTTTTTATAACTGTTGGGTAATTATTTTTAAAATAAAGAAAACTACACAAACTCAGTATTCGTATGCATAAAAATCATAAGAATTTTCTTTAGTATATACTGAAATTTCTCGTGTACATTTTAGCTAATGAAATGTTCTTGAGTATCGAACCAACTGAGAGATATAAACCCCGTATGCAGGTGATAAGGGTATGTTGCTACATATGTAAGGGAAGTTGACAATTGAAAATTTTTTGTCATCACGTTTGTCATAAAGCTTTGTTGTTACATGTAGGTTACCATTAACGTTCTTTTTCTAGTAAATATCCAAATATGAAACAGATTTGTCAGACTCTGTGGTATGTTTTATTTTAAACTCACTGGGATATATCGAGTCGACATATGAATGGAAATAACTATTGTAAATTAATATTTTTCGACGATATATCTAAATGTCGAGTTGAAGGCCACAGCAAGTTTTTCTTCTTCTCATGTATAAGATTTTGAATAAATTCTGCTTCATATGAATACAAAGTAGGAGTACAAATACGATGCTCAAAACTTCTAAGCAACATGCTTAGTAATTTTTAGCTAAGTATATCGTAATCTGTTTAGGTATTGCGTAACCATATCAATAAAGTCACTTCTACTTTAACTTTAATATAAATAAATGAATAATTTATACTCCAAAGAAGTTTTAACAAAGAAAATTTTAAGGTATTAAAAAGGTATTCATCAACCCTTTTAAAGAAACCGGGGGGGGGGGGGGGGGTTGACATACACTCTATACAGTACAACTTTCCTTTATTGTCATTTGTGATGCAATACTGTTAAGATATTAATTGAATATAATTTATGTACAGCGTCATTGCTCTCAGTACGACGACATCCCTTCCAAAAGGAGTAAAAGAGTGAATCAAGATTTCCAACACTCGATGAAATAATGCCTCCTCACATTCAAGATATACATGTAGGCCTAATTATATCGGGTACCCTTCAAGTGAATTACATAAAAACACATTGGTGAAATTAATACGTATGGATTATAATTCATTTTACATGTATTTACAAGTATTTATTTTTGTATTATTTTATTTTCATTCATTATTAAATCAATATTTTATGTGTGTGTGACTGGTCCTTTGTTGCATTATCTTAAGCAATATGCTTAAGAACTTAAAACAGGTAAAGTCCATGCTAAACTTGAAGTATATACTGAGCATATGCTTAAGAGTTAAGAAGTTTAATGCAACATGCTTAGCAATATTCTTAGTTAAATTTTTAATCTGCTGAGCAGGAAAAAAGTACTTTAGTTTATCCTTACGACCTCTAAGGTAAGAGGGAGGGGATTTTTTTCATTTAATTCGCAAAACACATGGCTGACAATGAATTTAGGTACCCTAATTTTTAAAATACTCTGCCTGTTAACGATGGGTATTATTTCAATTTGAAAAGATCTTCTTTTTAAAGTAGTTACCTTCATGTTTTCTCCTCTTTAACACAATACATATCACAGCTAAGATGATGGTTATTAGAAGTACTATGAATACGACAGCAGCAATAATTATAGTGAGAGTGGTGGAGCCTTGAAGGTCGGCTTCTGTAGTGGCCGTGGATTGAAAACTGAAAGCATGAAGAGTTTATTTTTGATGTGCATTTTTTTCCAAAAAAAATTAAGTACATAAACAAGCTTGACTTTGACCAGAAAAGGTGCGACTAAATTAAAAAAAAAAAAAAAAAAAAAAAAAAAAAAAAAACCACAACATTAATTGGTACAGCTGTACTTATTCATTTATGAAATATTGTTAGTTAAGTAATATCATTTTATAATAGTGGGGTGTTTAAAGTAGATTCAGATATTTAAGATTTTATTGAACAAAGAGACCTATCACGTCTCATATGTGAATACAATACATACATATAATACGATTTAGACATCACAGTGAAACAATAGATATTGTATAATGTATACGTAAGTGTTATCATGATATTTGTGAATTAAATTAATGTCTTAATCTATTTGCGAAAAGTTGTTTTCCAAGGTCACATATCGTATTCGGGCTGGTTAATATTTGAATCAATTTATAAACACTAGGATTGCAATAATTATGATTTTTTTGATACTCTTCTTCAAAGCTTTATATTTAAGGCATGTAGAAATAAAGAAAAGATATTACCATTAAATTATTTTAAATTATATTAAAGTTTAATATCACATATAGTATAAAAATCACATTTTCTACATTTATTGTATATTCTTCTGTTAAAAAGAAACGATCTCAAACTTGAATATCCAAACAGCACACGATTTTTTACAGTATGTCACAGTAAAATGCATGTATACCTGACCGTGCTTGTCATTCCAGTCCTATCGAGGCATAATGAAACTGAAATAGATAAAATAAAGAATTTAGATAATAAACTTTGATTTTTTAAAATTTGCATTGCAATTAGAACATCCTTATTAACACCTACACTGAAGATTTCAAAGAATAGATTTCTGAAAGGTAAAAATATTAGAAATATTCTTGTGAATTAGAGGGAAAAAAGTCTATCACATTCTTTTTATTTTTTGTATGCGAAAGGAAGGATGGATATTGACTATTTCGTATGTCATTAAGTAAACGTTGAACAGTTAAATGAAGAAGTCTTACAAATGTTTTAGTTTGGTATAAATTCTTACATTCATAGACTTTGTTGGACCAGAATGTCTTGTTTGGACAGCCATCAGATATACAAGCTGTAGCATCGATCCTTCCTGCCTTGGAATTGTACTCAGGGCACATATCTGTAAATAAATAAATACACGGTAGAGAAAATAAGCACCTCCTTCAATATACCGGATTAGGGACCCAGTCATTCAAGGTAAATTAGGTCCAGAATTAAGGTCCAAAAAACAAAATAATAAATACGAAACTTAAAAAAAAAATACAAATATAAATGTCTATAATTCAAAAGGAAAGGAATAATTCATTTCCATTATTTAACTTTTATTTTAAAATCATCTCAGTGATATTACAAATTAATCAAACACGGTACTGCATGAGTGTTTACTGTGCATTAAGTCACTTCCCGTGTATAGGGATTAGCAGAAAACACGACTGCAGGTAGACTGCTAGCCCTCGAAGCATTAACACCTGTACAATTTAGCCCCGTCATCACCTGAAATTTACCACGCGGTTAAAGTCTATCTTTTAATACTGAATAACAAGTAGAGGTAGGTAGTCGACTTTTTTTTTACAATTGTGGTATTGCGGGTTTTAAGCTATGATGAAAACTGTTTAGGGGGAAGAAGATATTTTGTTAATATTTGATTACAGATTGGTGAAATGTAAATATATGTGACCTTGAAATCCTCACTCTGATGATGTGTATAGCCTTTCAGGTAATCTTTTTTTTTTTAATGTCGTTTTAAAAACGTATGACCTAGATTTTCCACTGAGAATTTACAGCATCAGATACTGTTTCCGTTCTTTAAATTTTTATTATAAGTTTAAATTTTTAACATTTTTGTTCAGAAAGTACAACACATAGGCGTCGGAAGCAAATTGAAAGTGTTGTACATGCATAGGGAGGGGGGGGGTTAAACCAACAAAAATTGTTTGTGGGGCTAAGCGCTTATTTTAATGCTTATATTACGTCCATCTTTGCAAAAACTGTGGGGGAACTTATTCCCGGTTCCGACGCCTATGCAACAAGAGTTGACAAGTCTTAATATTCAGATTATAGTCAGAAATTTTTTTACTAGAGATGTTTCGATCACGTCTCATCTTTGAGTCTCTCAGCAAGGATACGATATGTGATTGTTAGTTTGCTCGGATCTCGTGAAGAATTCTGGTAATTTTCGTTTAATTTTTATAGATAAAGTTGTCTGTATATAAGCAGTAAATAGAGCTCTCCTACAGAAGAAGTGCTTACCTTTTTGAATCCAAACCCTGCTGAGGCACTGCTCTGTTGCGTGGTCATTTTCATTCAGAAGACAGTGATAGTAGTTAGGTACAACACACTGTAATCTTTGTGATGCCAGATTCCAACTTGTGACGTCAAGAGGGCAATTAAATACACCCATCTGTGGTGTATTTCATCCTACTTTCGGTTTTGATGTCGATCCTGATCCAACATGTTCCAATAACGGTAACTGCATGGAAATGGAGTTTAAATATTAAAAGTCTTTCACACTAATCTGTATGTTCCGAAATATAATGTCACCTTAAAAATACCAACATCAGGGCTAGATTAATAAAATTTTTATTTTACTTATTACTTATAACTTATTTAAGGTGGTTTTCTATAACAAAACTTTAAAGAAAATGTTATTTATTTTAGTTTCGATTTTCCTTTAAGCTTTAAGATTCTTAGGCTAGTCAAATATTATAAAACTTGAAATTAAAAATATCTATAATTGAAATGTTCATATTTTTATTTAAGTCAACAAAAAGTGAAAAAAAGAAAATAAAAGGACTCATTCATTTTCATTGAATACTTCCTTTGAATGTTAAAGTTAACATATTATAGCAGTCAATACAATTACACTTTATATACTATTCATTGTTTCATTTTAATTTATTTAATGAATAGAAGAAAAGCATGTTTAATTTCATAAGTATAATTTCTCTCAACATTCAGGACTAATGATCAGGGGTCCGTTTTACAGAAGAATTTACAATTAACGAGGTTCGCTCCTGAGCTTTTGAGCAGATTTTTATCTTAACCTATATTTCAAAAATTCTGCATAATGTTTTAATTCTTACAATAAATTTGGATTCTACAAGGCCAATTTAAGTATATTCAGCTACAACTTCACGATTAAATTTCATACCAAAAGCGTTAAGTTAGGAACTATATTTTGTGGCGGAAGGTTTTTTTTTAGAAGAAAATGATCATTTTTTTCTCTTTCCAAGTATTTAAAGTATGTTAAGTTTGGATTCCTATTTTTACATGCAGTCTGCACACAGAGTTATTTTGTGCAGTGAACTGTTTTATACTGGTTCTAAATTATCTATTAAGTAAACTGTCATGAATTCTAGAATCATATTTTATAAATATAGCAAATATATTGTGAAAATCAAGAAAAAAAAATAGCCCTAATTTAAGCTTAAAATTAGCACTTTTTTACAAATATCTAGAAATTAACATGACAGACCCACACTTTTTATTTTCTTTTCTGAAAATATAAGAAACTTTTAACCATTCTTCTTAAATTCAGTAAAATGTCATTACTTTCAAATGATTTTTTTGCTTGTTAAATTTTAAATGCCAGAAAAATGAAAATTTCTGAGTGCAGAAAGGTCAAATAATTGAACATGCGGAGTAATTTGAAAAAATTTTCGTTGTCACAAATTTTAATGTGTCTATTTAAAATGAAATAAGACTGTGTTTGTTCCCATAATTTATTTGAATAAAACTATTGGAGGAAAAACTTTAAAAATTGATTTATGTGTAAGACGTATTAACAGTGCAAAAAGGTCAAACTAAATACTCTGTAGCGCAAAAAGAAGCGCATTGACCCCCATTTTTGTTTTGATTTTTAATTAAGTTATGTGTATAAATTCTAAAAATATACTTGATAAAAAATTCTCATTACTTTTAATGGCAGGATCCAACCCCCTTAAGACCAAAAACCTAAGTTGATTGTAATATTTTGCAAAAGTATTGATTCTGTTTCAAAGTGCTAGGATAAAAATATCTTTATAAATTCATTTAAAAAGATTGAAACCATTTTCAAATGAATGTAAAATAGAGGATAATAAGCAGAATTAAATTTTTGTCGTAGTCGCAAGTTCCTTTGTAAAACGGGCCCCAGGTAATAAAAAAAAATTAAATAAGGACCTTTTGAATTCTCTTTAGGTTATTTCAGTTTCTTTAAATTTAAAGGAGCTGGTGCACAGTTTTGAAGCTCATATTTTCTAAAATTTTCTAAATAATATCATCACTTATATGTTGCTAGGTCATTATTCGAAGCATGTTAAGAAACTTTGCTTATCTGAACATTATTTAAACTATGATTTCGGGACGCGTTTGATTGACACATTTCCTTGCACTTTCACAAAGTAAACTTTATCCATAATACTTAAGAAAAGTAGAAATTTTGTTGTGGATTAATGAAAAATATGAAAAACTATAATCCAGAAATTTCAGAGTAGAAATGCAAGAAAGCAAAACCAACTCACCAGTACTGTTATTAAGTGCCCGGTGATGTGTGCAGACTAAGCAAATTGAACACACCCGGTAAAACTAAAATACTAACAATAACAGAGCTCGAACCCTGTTAACAAACACAGGTGCTTGACGTGATGTAATGAAGAATGTCATTGTCATTGAATTAAACGGAAGTTATTTTTGAATAATATTGTAAACAATGCAACTGTGTCCAGGCAACTTTATGCACCTCAAAAAATCATAAACAAAAGTATAAAATACAATAACATCTGGCAAACAAAGTTTATTTTAAACATGCAGTGATATGTAAATGCAAATTTCATTAGTTGGAAGATTTTCTCAATACTGATAAGTCTTCTTCACTTTAAACTTTGATAATATATCTCTCATTAAATAAAGGCGTTTTTTGTAAATGTTCTTTATGGTCAGTCCACACAGCTAACGGCATCTCCAAAACAAATTTAGACAAAGGTTGTTGTGTTGCTGCTGCGAATATTTTATCAAAGTCTTCACGGAGATCCTCTATCTGAGACACTAAATTTACGTCTGCAAATACACCCTGGAAAAAGTAGACTTTGGTCCACATATCTACTTTAAACTCGCTCATACTCTTCACGAACTGACATTTATCGTATCTATTTTCATATATCAGAGTTTCATATGATTCTGCTATCTTGTCTTCATCGTTCCCGACGTACACATATATATTACTGACTGGATCCATGGACTTGAGATTTAATTCTGAAATAAAAATTAAAAATGACCGTGTTATACTCCTAAAAGATCAAATAATTGTGGCGTTTCCAAAATACGTGTCATCACTATGTTAACATACTCAAGAAGGGCTGTTTTTCAACATCAGCTGAACGAGTCCGAAAAGTTGTACCGTTTCCGTTCACATGTTCTGTAAAACAAATGCTACATGTATAGTATCTTCATTTTCTAATTGCCATATCAATGGGAAAAAATCATGCTAAAAGTATGGTTTTGTGCACGCACCTGCATTAATGAAATCATCAAGTATACTTTCCTGCCTTAAAGTTTTTGTATATTCAATATGAACTTCATGCCTGCATCCTACAATCGAAGAAAAATGCAATGAAATCTGTTTTAAAAATAGCTGTACAAAACCAGTTATACTTAATCAGTAAAAATACGTTTGTAATTGCATGATGTTTTAAGCAAAATGATCTCCAATGTCCCTTAAAATCTATTCATGTGACAGTTCAATGTGGTGGTAACCTTTGTGTCTTGATCTCCTTCTCCGACATAGAACACATATAAACACCACCACAAGGATCAGAAAAACCAGGATACTTCCGCCGATAATGTACGGTAAGAGGGTATGCATGTCTAGGCCAGGGCTTGTTGTAGTCGTGTTACTGGATGAGGTTGAATTGGATGGCCTATCATGACAGAAGAGTACAGTTATCCATGACTTGGTGTTCTAGTTGATACTAGTAGTCAGACATATTTTGGAATATATATTATATATGGCGAAAATGTATGTCAATTTTAATGTAAAATTGATTCGTGTATAACTTACTCTTCAGTAACGGTGGTATTTGTAAATATAATGTAAGAGGAATTCTGTATTGACTGGGATTTCTGAAAGCACTTCGGATCTGTAACAAAACAAAAAAAAGAAAAGAATTCCTAATTGTTTGCACAGCTGCTTTCATTAAACTTGAAAACATGAATTAATGTAATTTAAATTATCTCACATAGATAGACGGCATTAGACCAGAATGTGTTTCTAGGACATTCTGTTGAATCCCCTAAACATTTGTCCACGTCTATTATATCAAGGTTTTCGTTGTATTCTGGACACATATCTGAAAGTAAATAATAATATTATTTTACAGTGAACAAGAGAAACTTGTCTCTTACATGTAGATTTATTTTTGAGTACCTCTTGTTATATTGCAATTTGAGATATATAAGATGTTTATAATCCCGAGGTGTATTTGGCATTCTTAATATACATTTACATTTCACATGTAAAATTCCTAATTGTTTTTTGATTACAAACCTGGCGGAATCCATGTTTTCTCAAGGCATTTTTCTACGTATCGCCCTGCTGTTGTCTTTAAGCAATGGTAAGTTCTGGGTGGAGTACAAGTAAAGACAGAAGAGGCTGAATTCCAATCATTCTGGTCCTGTGGACATGTGATGCCTTGGCCCTATGGGGAATAAAGAGCTTTTTATATAATACTTTATAAAAGAAAAGATGGATAGCAAAGTAAAAATCGAATTGTTGCAATATTGCTTCAATATGAGCAAAGGTAAACATGAATACACATGTACAGTCAGATAAATGTTAACTGTCAAGCACAGTGCAGGTGCACATGCACGTCGTTAGATAAGGTTGGTAGTGACTAATGGTTTATAACTCGATGAGAAACATTGAACAAAAACAACGGTGATACAGGTAGTAATGATAAAAATGTATCAAATATTGTTTCATAGGAGGAATACTAATATACATACCTTGACAGCCGCCATTTTTTTTTCTTAATCAATAATTCTGAATACTTTACAAAGAGGTTTAGATTTAAATGCCCTTCGTCATTCAAACCTTTTTCCTCTTGAATAGCTTTGACGACCTCATTTACCTTAAGATATCTAAATATAGATTGGGGATTTTTATGGCTGTGGACCTCTTAAATTTCTTCACTTCAGATTAGCGGTCATTTAAATCTATAGGATAAACAGGAGAAATAGTAAGGTTTTGATACTTTTACTTTTTCTACAAAGTATAATCTAATTACTTATTCATATATGTATGTGTAAATGTTGGATATTGTTACAGTATTTTGATTTTAATATCTTGTATAATAACGTTTTTCTACACAAAAAGTTATATTTCTGACTAGAAAAGGGTTTTCAAACATTATTTGCTCTAAAAAACAAAAACAAATAAAAACAAATCAGTAAAAATTAAGAATTCAAAAGTGAAAAATAAATTTTTTTTATCTTTCAATTAAAAAAAGGGCGTTATTCACAGAACTGGTTATTGAATATACATAATTGGTTAGGAAATATTTGCATTACTAATTGCTTTTGAAAAATTTTTAAACGAAAAGAAATGTAAACAATTTACATTTTGTAGTAATGTATTAAAAAAAGAGTAAGACCTCAAAATAAAAGAAAAGGAAATCTAACTCTAGTACAAAAACCAGTAAATTAATCATACAAAAAGGCCATTACAAATTTTGACAACTCTGACCATTTTCATAAAACAAAGAAAAGTTGTGGGACTTTTGGATAGCAAGGATTAAATCAACGTCGATTGATTATGCGGTAATCACTACTTCTGAATTTTTTTAAAATTTTATACACGAGGGTTGTCCATTAAGTTCTTGGACAATGACGCTTTTTGCCAAAGTGAATTGTCCTAGTTTAATACTTCTGTATACCAAAATATTTGTAATGAAAATTCAAGTCAGAATAGTTTGACTTTGGTTGTTTGAATTAAATTTAACATATTTGTAAAATGGTTGTCTTTAGAGGTCACAGATAATGCGCACAGCCCAGGGTTGAAAGCTTAAGCTTTGGCTTAAGCTTTGGAATAAAGTTTTTGGATTAAAATTATTATTTTCTTCATAAAACATGGCAAAATTTAGCAAAAATTAAATGTGTCTTAAATAAAACGGTTGCCTCATTTTCAGATATCTTTAGTTTCGCTTATTGGGCAAATTGTGAAAATATTTAGAAAAAAAAAGAATTATGTTTCAAAAACTAACAGAAAAAGCGACGTCGGTCATTCGAATGGAATAGCGTCCAATCATAAAATTATATTTTAATTGTGGTTGAAACGACGTCAGAGACTAGGTGAAACAACTATAAATTTTTGGAATATATTTAGTTCATTGATTTAATATTGAATTGGTACATGTGTATAAGATTTTTCAATGTTGTGTACAATTTGAGAGACTCTACAATAAGTAAGAACTATTGTTATTTGATGAAAATAGGATATATCTCTATTTATGACGTTGTTATAAACTTAATTAACGCAACGTCGGACTGGGCTGTGCTGCCCGTGTATATGAAGTGTTTATACTGATGACGTTCGTAAATTATCATAAATGGTTTTGAATTTAAAAAAAAAATACTGTTTTGTTGTTGTTGTTGTTTTTTTTTTTTTTTTTTTTTTGGTCTATTTTTAAATATTATAGCACACACTTAGCAGTGTGGCATGATAAAGAAAAAAAATGAGTGTGTCAACGAATATTTGATAGCAATTCAAAATTCGTATATTTTTTTTTTTACTTTAATTATCATGAAATTAGCTTTATCGAACTGGGCCGTACTGTTTGCATATACAAGCTATTTACACATAATTTTCGTAAAATAGTGGTTGTTGCTTTAAATTTATTCATTTACTAAATCATGCTCTATATTAAAATAATATATCGTACAAATCTGGCTGTGTGGTCGTTATTTAAAAAAAAAATACAGCATTTGTCTAGGAACTTTATGGACAAACCTCGTACTTCTGGAAAAAGGAGATTGTTCGTACAATTCATTTTTTAATTTTTTTTTAATTAAGTAAAATTATCACAGAATAATTAAAAAAAAAAAAGATTTGAAATTTAACACTTTATTTTAGAACTAAGAAAATTGACAAAGATGTAAATAAATTTGAATATGTCGATATAAATGCCATGACATACAGATGATACAATAATATACATGATGGAGCTCACAAAGGCTTTAACAGACCTATTTCCAATTGGGTCCTATTATTATAATTATTAGACTTAAAAATTACATGCTATAATTAAGGCAGGACACTGACAAAAATGCATAAAGCATTGAAAATATAGCATGTTATACAAATGCAGTATGTCATGTATTTGTAGCTAAAAGGCCTTAACAACTTTCTTTTTTTTGTTTTACATTCACCTCCTTGATCTATAATGGCAAAGCATTCCAAGCTTTAATAGAATTTAAGCACTTCTATATAACATATCATGTGGGAATATTAGCTTTGTTGTTCCCATTGATGATACATTTTCAGTATCCTTACTGGACAAAAGTAAACGTCATTACTTGATGAGATCCTCTATCCATTAATAATTTAATTTATATCATTTTAGTGAATGATGTTACTTTTTTTATTTAACAAGGTGAACTAATTATTATGAAACTTTCTCATTAATTTATGAAAAGACCATTTATGTTTCATTATACCATCACTGTTTACTACAAGGGTCTAGCGGAGAGATATACAACGGTCATAAACTTCCGTTTGAAATCGATTATAATGCAAGTGCTTGGTGATTAGGTGGAGGGGTCCAACCTCAATGATTAACACATCATGCATAAATTTCACTTACTATATTGGCGGTGTCAACTTAATACACAGTAAAGTAATTATATGTAGAATTTTCTATAAGTATCAACCTCTATGCATACAGTGGATTTCTTGAAACATTCAGAAAGGATAGGAAATTTATTAAACTTGATTTTTTTTTTATTTTGCTGTCGTCACTTCCGGTCACAAGTTACATCCGATTTTCTGTTTGTTTGTTTTTTTTAAAAACATTTTTTTTCCAGACGTTTTCTCAAAAACGGTTAGAAACATGATATTAAAAATGTCAGGGATGAAAGATCTCATCTAGTTCAGTTATATATATTGTGTGTATTTTATACAAGGCATTAACTTTATTCCTTTAAATATTGATTTTTGTCTCATAACTTCTCACTTTAAAGATTGCCTTAAATTTCTAGTTTTACGGGTTTCTTGAAAAAATGATATTTTAGTAAATCTTTCTCAAATCGTCTCCATTCGTCTGTTTGAGAAGAAAGAACGAAGTAACTCTTTGGAGTTTTTGTTGCTTGCTTGTGCATTTTTTGAAGTTTCTCTTTTAAATCCATCACGTCCTGGGCAGAATTAATATCATCCAACGAATGTCGGAATAAATACAAACTGATATCCTCTTCCGGGTCCCAGTTAAGGAGAGATCCAACGTATTGCGACTTCCCAAATCTTCCAGTGGCATCCAAAGACTTTATCCTCTGGTCATTTTTAGATGTGTCATCAGATATAAATATTATCACTCCGTTGTTTTCTAGTTTATCGGTATCTGTACAAGCAACGAGTTCATTGTTTCCAATAACTAGTTTTAAAGAAAAAACGAAAACATCATTCCATTTAGATAAAATCTTACATATCACTCAAGTCTTTATCTTGAAAAAATAAATTATCAGGAAATACAATTATTACATATAAGAATGACTTTTGGAAGGTGATTTAAGATAGTATATGTATATCAGCTGTAATTATTTCTTTAGCAGTGGCTCTTCCATCAATGAAATGTATTTAACTGCATCATAGATTTATAATAATTCTTGATTAAGTACGTTTAGATGATGTTTTTATTTTCTTGTGTTTTTCCTATAAACATGAACAAAACAATTGTAAATCACTGAGTACTATATGGAAACATTATCGTATCTGAATTTCCAATTGCAATGGAAAATCTTTTATATAAAGTGCTGGCTGTGCTAACATATTTTGAGCTCACAATTTTAACATCAATAATATTGAAAATAAGTGTTTATAAATTTGAATTTACCTTGCACTTGCTCATCTGTGTTATTTATCTTGTTTTCAGTTTCCATTTTGTGTTTATTACCGTATGTTTCTGTAGGAAAATGGGTTTAATCATATATTCCATTTTGTGTTTATTACCGTATGTTTCTGTAGGAAAATGGGTTTAATCATATATTCCATTTTGTGTTTATTACCGTATATTTCTGTAGGAAAATGGGTTTAATCGTATATTCCATTTTGTGTTTATTACCGTATGTTTCTGTAGGAAAATGGGTTTAATCGTATATTCCATTTTGTGTTTATTACCGTATGTTTCTGTAGGAAAATGGGTTTAATCGTATATTCCATTTTGTGTTTATTACCGTATGTTTCTGTAGGAAAATGGGTTTAATCATATATTCCATTTTGTGTTTATTACCGTATGTTTCTGTAGGAAAATGGGTTTAATCATATATCAATATAAAAATCATGATCATCCCTTTTTATCGGTACATAGATAAATTCAGAATGTTGCAATTGATTAAATCAAATGCCATTAAATGTCAAATATACATATATATGAATTGAGGTTGTCATTATTAGTGGAAATTATTATTATTAATAATTATTTCATTTTTATTTTTTTTTTAATTTATTTTACCTAACAAGCCATCAGTCTCATCTTTTTCCAGAGTTAGTCGTTTGTTTTTTGTGCATTCGTCTTCTGAAGTTGAATAGATGCGTTCCATTCCTGAAGACAAAATTGAAAATAAACCATAAATCTCTAATGATAATTGTACATATTTTTAATATGCATTTAAATTCCACTTACCCTTAACTTTTAACATTACAAATGTTCTCAGTCATTCTTAATTTCAAAAAGAAATATACGAATTCAAATTTTATTTCTTACCCCTTCATGCATAAAAGTATTAAGGGTTGTTAAAATGATCAATCGGCTTTGAAAACATTAGGTTTTTACCTATCAAGTTTTTGTTTTCTATTTCTTCTTTGATATCTCTTCTTACTTTGACATCTACAGTACGTTCTGGTTCTAAATCAAAC